TGTTGTGTGGACAGAGGGCAGGGAAATTTGTGTAGCCAGTAGCTTCTCAGAGAATGGCTGTGTTAGTGTGCAGCAGAGTAATGGATGTACTTAATGAGTCATCAGAAATGTTACATTATGTTTACTTAGTTTGATTAAGGAGATAGGGAGTGTGAAATAGATTTGGAAAGATTGCCAACAAAACTATTTTACAAAGGTTTTGGCATTTAAACAAATTAGTTTCAATCAGAAAATCTGCTAATATAGAATAATTCATCTCTTTATCCTGAAACATTCTTGAACTCCATTCCTCATCAATGTTTTTTGTTGTTATTTTAGAGCTTTATATTTCTTTTGGTGGTTTTATTCAATTGCCCTCCCTCAAACTTTCCACAAGTGATAGCATATCTATGCTATAACTAGAGGCTGGTGCGTGAATTCATGCACGGGTGGGGTCCAACTAGCTCGCCCCGATTGGGGGGGGGAGTGGGGCCCGCCAGGGGGGGGGGGTGGGGGGGGGGGGGGGGGGTAAGAGATCAGCCAAAGGACTTGTATGCATGCATATAAGCATAACCAATGGACACAAGACACTGGGGGGTAGGAGAGGCTGGGGGAAGGTCGGGAGGTGAGGGGAAGGAGACCAATGTACTATTTGTAATATTTTAAGCAATAAAAATTATATATATATATATATATTATACTCCCTTTTTAAATTAACTAATTAATTTTTAAGAATTTATTATGTATTACTGTATATCTTTTTAACTTCAGAGTTAACCTCAATTTAAAGGTGAAGTAGAAGTTCTAGTAGCTGTATTTTCCTCCTTTTCCTCTGTAATTTAGTCTGTTATTCTTCCTTCTTTTCTGGAAATTTCAGTGCACTTTATCTTTTCTTAAATTCATCCCTTGGTGTAATATACTGTGTAATAAGACTTCATCCTTTCTTTCTCCATAATATTCAGCATCTTGTGCCTCTGATCTACCCTGCCAACATGAAACCAACCCTATATTCCCATGAAACTCGGGCAGTTAACCTACTACCTCCTCTCTAGTGTAATCACCTTGAGCAATGCATTTCTCCCCATCCCTAAAACATCGCCACAGAACTGGGAACCTCCCTAATTTTTCATTCTCACACATTTTACTTTTTAATTCAGCTCTTTATAGATATTGACCCACTAATACCTATATTCCTACCTCTTTATATCAACCAATAGTTTAAAGTTTAGTTTTAATATAGGATGTATTTTCCACAGGCTATCTCTTCAGAGGGTCATAACAAACACATCTTCTCTGCTGTGAGTTAATCCTTCTTAGTCTCACAAAGGTGTTTTCTTCCAGACCATTCCTTTTTTCACAGTTTCCTAATTTCAGACACCTATTAGGGGACCCAATTCATTTTGCAGGTATAACTCTGTCCCTTTAACTATCAGAAAAGGGTGAAGAATATTAAATCAGAACTCATTTGATGTTTTAAAGCACTATTATTATCTGTAGGACAAACTGCCCAAATCATATGAGTTTTATTTTTATGTGGTATCTTACCCCCTGAGAGTGACTAATTAGTATGAACTGTAAAAAGACTAAGAGACATCAAGTTTAATAGAGGTCCTCTTTTCACCATAGTGTCAACACTTTTGCTGTTGTTCATTCCGTTGGCACGTAGAAATCACTTTGTTCTGATGTATTTAAAATAGGGATTTCACTTAAATGGTAATAGCTCATTTTCAATAGATCTGATAACAAAGCTGGCTTTTTTGTTTTTAACAGTTGGTTTGGGCAAGTAGACTTTAGGATATAGTTTAGATCCTTAGTGCCAGGTTGATGGTGACTTGAACAAAACAGTATGACTCTTGTTAGTAAATCTTTACTAGATGAAGTAGGGCCTGGAAGTAGGTGAAGGGCTAGTTGGGCTTTCTTAGGGCTATATGTGACCACTATATTGAACGCTCAATCCTTAAAGGGCAGGAAGTTAGAGCCAGCGTTACCTGAAGAGAAAGAAGGTAACTCCATCAAGTAGTGAAGAAATCTAGAGGCTGTGGAGCTTCCAATCTTACCTTCTTTATCTAATAGTAAATTTCTGACTATAAACTTAGAATCTGTCTTGTTAATTAAAGAAATTGTAAAGTACGAAAGTCTTATCAGTTAGTGCTGAAAAGTGTCACAATTTTTATGCAGCCTAAAAACAGGGATTATAATATTTATTAACTTATAAAATGGTTGCTTTGTGTCAGTTACTTGTGGAGAATGTCAAAAAATAAACTGTCTCTGACCTTCAAAACTTGTGATGTAGGAAGAATAGGTTAAGGTCAAAGTTATCATGAATCACAAATAAATGAAAGAAAAGAAAGCTAAAACTTTGAAACCCTTGTGACCACTTTCATCTCTACTCTGTACCTTTGCCTCAAATTTTTCTTACCTTTCCTTGTTACTCACTTTTTATTTTGTTCGTATTCATTTCCTGTATTTATCTTTGTTATTATTGCATGTCAAAATAGTTAGCTTCTACAGCAATTTATTTCAGTGTGTCTTCAAGTTAATCTTGAGAGACATCTCAAAAGAAACTGATTTTAATTTGTTATAATGTTTAAAATACATGCCACAAAGTTTTGGAAGGAAAGTTGGATTAAGAGGACATGTAAACTCAGGACAGCAGTTATAATGCATAGGCTGTGAATAATCTCTGCTCTTAAGAAGTGAGCCTGTCTTTTTTAATGGGTATTGAATGTTTAGACAGTTAATAAATTGACTAAGATGGTGGAAAAATAGATTGGGTCTGTAAATCTCAGGATATTCACTCCACTCTGAAATCAAATTATAAAAGAGTAGCAAATTTCTTACCCTTAAAAAGACATTTGGTAAAAAGTATTCATTCTTATATTTTATAATCCATTACTATGCTTTTTGGTGGGGATGGATACTTCTTACTTTTCAACTCTTCCTTTGTATTTCAGGGGTGGAATTTAGGGAACCAGAGGATCAGAAGAAATTAAGCATTTATCCTTCTGTGACTTTTTATCTCTTTTTTCTTAGGTGACAGTTGACAAATGTAGTCTTTTAAAATTACTATTATTTTTAAAATTAATATATTGCTAAATTATGTTTCTTTTCTCTGAAATAGTTATGGTTCATATTTTCTTTTTCATGTATGACATGATTGGAATTACATGAATCTTAGATAAACATTTAGTTTTGTGCATGTTAGCAGTTTTAAGGTTTAGATTGTTTTTAATTTTTCTGCTTTTTATTTTTGTTAGTGCAAAGCAGCTGGTCCGAGGAGAACCCAATGTTTCGTATATCTGTTCTCGGTACTATAGGGCACCAGAGTTGATCTTTGGAGCCACTGATTATACCTCTAGTATAGGTAAGTACTGAATCTGAATATAAATGGCTTGTAACTATTAATTGAATCTCGTTTTCAGTAATTTAGTATTAGTAATCTATACTTTCACTTAAATATAAAGATGGGTATACCCTAAAATGTGTTTTTTCTTAACGGTTGGTATGCAAAAATGTGTATAGTATTTAAAATTTTAAATACATTTATTATTTACTTTCAGGTTTCATGGATTTTTCAAATTAAGTAATAAAGTTATTTATGATTGCATGATTTCTTTATGATTACCTCTGTTTTTAACTTAAACTTTCAAATAAATCCTAAGTATACATTTTCTTTCCCTTTTGTTTCTTTTAAATTCCCCTGAAATACTTCTGATCAACAGTTGGAGAATTTGCATTCATTGTTTATTATGAAAGTAATGGAATGACCATATTGTTGATATCCTACTAATTGAGCTGTCTCAATTAGCTCTTTACTTTTAATTTAGATATTTATAAAATAACTCTGAGCTTTTTTAAAAATACATTTTTATTGATTTCAGAGAGGAAGGGAAAGGGAGAGAGAGAATCATCAGTGATGAGAGAAGAGAAAATCATTGACTGACTGCTCCTGCACATCTCCTACTAGGAATCGAGCCTGCAACCTGGGCATGTGCCCTTGACTGGAATCGAACCTGGGACTCTTAAGTCCGCAGGCCAATGCTCTATCTATTGAGCCAGCCCAGTTAGGGCTCTGACTTTTTCTTTAGTAGTTTGGCTAAACCCACTAAGTCTGTAGAAGTTTTCATGAAAGATTTTTAGTGACAGAAGGAATTGAATAGAGATAGTTTCCTCCAATCTTTACTAACCTTCTCTTCTATCTTATTTTTGCCCATTAGTAGGAGTGAGCATGGAGAGTATGATCATGTGGACATGAATAGGAAGCTAAGGAAAAAGATGCAACCTTAGGCTATGTGCAAGTGGAGGTCAAAATTATTTTATTGTTATATATTATTTCAGAAGAGAATTCCTTAGTCAAAAACAGAAACAAAAGCTTACAAGTACCAAGCAAACAAACAATAAAACCCAAACTTTAGTAAAAGAAATCTAGGGAAAACCTAGAACTTGGACAAGTTTTGTCTTTTGATACAAGTAGAAATTCTTGGATATGAACAAAGACCACTAAACAGAGATACACCACCAATTTTATAATGTCAAAAGGCAAAATGCCAAGGGAGCAGCAGTTTTACCCACCATTTCTTTCACACCACCAGTGCAAATATGAACACAGTGAAGAATGCAGATAGCATCTTAGTATTCTTTTGAAAGTAGCTTTGCCCTTCAGGAACAGTGAAAAGGTTCGGGAGGGTGGGGGAGGGGGGTGGCGGGGGGCGCG